GATCCACACACGGGCAAAGCAAGAGATTCCTGCCTCAGCACTGGCAAAGAGATCCCTGCATCCCTCTCTGATCAGCCACTGAATTCCCCCTCAGTCTGTGGGCCGGAAGCTCGGGAAGCAGCTGCCCCCCCCAGGGCCATGCTCTTGGGGAATGGAGCTGAAACCCTGCCTTCCTTGAGCACTCACAGATACAGACTTTTCTGCTGGCCTTCTAAGTTGTCTTTGGCGTTCATGGATTGAGGAGTCTGGAAACCTCCCCAGCTGCCCATGATTCAGTCCTCTGAGGCCTGCTCCAGGTTTGCTGCAGCCTGCGCGCCCATGCCACACTGCGCTGAGCTCCCAGCCTGGGGCGATACACCTTTCTGATCAATCATCCAGATTGTCTTGGGCTGGAAATTTGTTTTGCTCTGTCTTTTTGTGGGTTCTGCTGCTTCAGAATTTCTTTAGAGCCATTTTTTACGAGTATTTGGAGGGGTTTTGGGGAGAGCTCAAGCAAGTCACTGCTTTCAGTCCGCCATCTTGACTCCTCCCCCCCAAGTGTCTTAAAAAGCCAGGGTCACAGTGAGCCCAGAGCCCTGCCTGGTGAGTGAGTGCTGCCCGCCCGTCATTGGCCTCTGTAGCCAGAAAGTGGGCCATGGAATCAGCTTCTGCTTACAAGTAGATTTGTTTTCTGTAGAGCAGTACGTGGCATATCCTCCTTTGCCTGAAGAGTGTGTGTGCTCCTGGTCAGTGGACAGGTAAGCAGTCTCCATCAGTATCAATAAGGCCAGACAATCAAAGAATCTGAACACTGGAAGGGTCTTCAGAGGCCCCATAGACCAGCATTCCGCCATGGTGCTTTATGAGCTGCAGTGTTCGAAAGACAACCCCCAATGCCTAAGAGCTCTCTCTAGAACCCTGGAGGTGCCCTAGGGGACTGAAATATGGAGGGAAGGAAAGGACGAAGAGAGGAGAGGAGGAAAGGAGAGAGGAGGGGATGGAGAAAAGGAAGGAAGGAGGGAAAGAAGGAAAGAAGGAAAGAAGATAGGAAAGAAACAAGCGCTTATTAAACACCTACTGTGCACCAGATAAAGTGCATGAAGCACTTTACATTTGATCCTTACAAACCCCTGCAAGTCTGGAACTATTCTTTGCATATTTTACAGATGAAGAAACTAAGGATGAGAATGTTAAGTGGCTTACGTCACACAACTCCCTGGGTTCAAATTCTGTCTATTACTAACTGTGTGCCCTTTCGTGGGAGCCCAAAATGTCAGAAGAGAATGGCACCTCACCCATCCCCCAGTTCATCCCATACCTGCACGTGAATGTCTCCAACACCTGCCCCAGGTGACCACCCAGATTTGGCAAAAGAGGTCAGGATGGAAGGCTGCGTTTGCTCGAGGGAGCCCCGTTCCCTTTGTGTCCTTACCCTAAATCTGCCGCTCCACAATTCCTGCACATTGTTCTTGGTCCTGGTGTCTGAAACCAAAAAGGGCTGGGCTACCTCTACAGCACAGCTGCCTTTCCGACAGCCGAAGATGCCTACAGGGTCGCCCCTAAGACTTCTTGTGGTCAGGCTCAATATCCTCAGTTCTTCCAACCAATTCCCGGATGGTTTGAATATGGCTCTGACACTTACTTCATAGCTGTGTGACTCTGAGCAAGTCATTCAACCTCTTTGCCTCGGTTTCTCAATGTGTAAAATAAGGATAATATTATTGGCAATTAGGTGGCACAACATGATAAAGCACTAGACCCAACATCAGGATGAACCGAGCTCAAATCCAGTGTCAGACGCTTACTAAATCGTGTGATGTTGGGCTAACCGCTGCCTGCCTCAATTTCCTCAACTGTAAAATAGGACTCAAAGAGAATCTATCTTCCAGGCTTGTTGTGAGGATCACATGGGATCAGATTTGTAAAACCCTTAGCATAGCACCGGCACATAGTAGGTGCTCTATAATGTTTGTTCCCTTCTGTCCATGCCTCTCCCCAGACTGGATCAAATGCCATGATGCAGACAAAGCTCTTTGTAAACGTTACATGTGTGATATGTGACCACTGTGGCTATTATCATCATCATTGTTGTTACTGCAACATGACCTGGTCTGGAAGCCCTTCAAACCCTGGTTGTCCTCTCCTGAACCTGGTCCAACTCATCTAGGGCTTCCTTAAAATGTCATGCCCGGAACTAGACCCGGCCGTTAGAGGTGGTCTGACCCGGCAGAGGATGGCGTGGGGCCATGGCCTCCCTGGCTCTGGGGTGAGGGGTGAGCAAGAAGACTATAGGTCACCGTCCTTTTCTGAGTACTACCTGTGATCTGAGCTTCTCCTTGGGGTCAGAAGGGGCTAGAATATCTGCCTACTGGGGGGAGGCTGGCAAATCTCTACAGCCACCACGTGGCTACAGAAAACCAGTGAGAACATACCCGGGCTCCCATTAAATCTTTTCTTTCGACTCTAGCGTCTGGGCAAAAATTGGTAATAACAGTATAGCACTTTAAGGTTTGCCAAAACTTCATATGTGTGATCCCATTTAATCTTCACACCAACCCTGGGAGGCAAGTGCTATTATTATCCCCATTTACAGATAGGGAAACTGAGGCAGACAGCGGTGAAAGGAGTTGTCTAGGGTCATACAGTCAGCGAGTGTCTTCTTCCTGACTCCAGGCTTGGTGCTCTTTCCACTGCAGTCTTTAGGTTAGTACAGTGCCAGACACGTAGTAGGTGCTTAACAAATCCACTGACCTAGGTGCCTCCAGATGGAAGCTCTCTCTTATGAATAACTCTCTGATCTGGGGTTAGATATCCAGAAGATCCTTTCTAACTTGGCATGCAGATGTATTTAAGCCAGAACCAAAAGTAAGTTAAGGAGGTGAACTCATTTTTCTCCTTTCACCTAGCCCTATTGCAGTCTGTCTGATGCACATCTATCAGCAGCAAAGTCCCTTGCTCAGATGCAGGACAAGCTCCTCACCTGTCTCCACCAATGACAAGTTCCCTGGTGCCTGCTGGCCTCATCAGAGCCTTGGGCTTCCCTGTAGAGTGTGGGGGCTGTCTCTTCAGAAAGGAGAGGTCAGCCCTGGCGGGGTAGGGGGAGATGAGCCCCCCGCCTCCTGCAGAAGGACCATGGTTCAGACACTGACTTAAGGCCTGAGAGAGATTGACTAGCCACATGGTGCTCTCTCAGAGAGAGAAGGGTGCTTCAGTAAAGCCCATGGAAGCCAATACCTTTGGCTAAGAAAGGAGTGAATCATTAACCCCTGTGAGGCCACTGCAATCCCTTGAAGAGACCCCCAGTCCCTCAGGGCCTGAAACAGTTAATGTGCCTCAGAACAAGGGACCATGAACACCCCTGTTTCACTTGAGGAGCCTGGCCTGGGGTGGATAATTCTTTGGATTCAGATGACAGATTGGGGAATATGCAGGGGCACCCAAGCAGCTCGATATCTAATAGGTAGCCATGCTGTATTGTTCTGTGTGGGCCTGCTGTTACACGGATGGGCAGCCAAAGGCCCGTCTGAGGCCAGTTCTAAATGGAGAAGTAACACGGGACCAACTCATGTTGTTAATGCGCCTTGTCCTCGGACCAAGGACTCCAACCAGCATCGACATCACCCTTCCATCCTCCCTAGAAGCTGACAATGTATGACCCTCTCAGCGTCCTAGGAGGAAGGTGGCTCTGGTCCCTCCGCCACCACCTGTCCAGCCCTCACCAAGTCTCCCGGCTCTGGGACAGCTAAGGAGGCCTACCTGCCAGGTCCCTGGAGGGGCTGCTTGGGATGAAGGGGACCCCATTCACAAGATCCTCAGACCCATGTGAATGTCACTCTTTATGTGTGGGTCTGACCATTCATGCCAAGCTGATGTCCCAAATTCCTCATGGACAAGCACATTTTTAAAGCCCGTAAATAAAAAGGCTTATTAATATACATAGGATTACAAAGAAACTATCGAAACATAGTTATTAAAATATTTTAAAGAGGTTCATCCCCATTAAGAACCCCTGATTGAGGGGCGGCTAGGTGGTGCAGTGGATAGAGCACTGACCCTGAAGTCAGGAGGACCTGAGTTCAAATCCAGTCTCAGACCAAACACTTGACACTTACTAGCTGTGTGACCCTGGGCAAGTCACTTAACCCCAATTGCCTAAAAAAAAAAAAGGAAAAAGAAAAGAACCCCTGATTAATCACAAGTCTCAATAAATCAGGCTGTGCACTTTGGGACGGGGTCAAATTCTGCCTGGACCCATGACAGCCAGATAAGGTGATGAACCTAAGGAGATGCTCCTAACTCTTAACATAAACAATCAAATAAACCCAAATGAGGCAAGCCGGTGCATTTGGCTCCAGATTTGCAGACACAAGAGAAATGGCAGAGATGAGACAAGCCAGGGAACCAGGCTCTGAGGAACAGTTTAATTTTAGAAAACAGTCCCAACTGTCAGAAGAATTGCCCTCTTTAGCTCATTAGAGAATCACCACATTCCTTTCAAAGGAGAAGAAAACAACTATTTCTTAATGCTCGCTTCACATTAACATCATGCCAATTATTGCCTTAGTCTCCGCTGAGAAATATGCAAGGGAGAAGCGAGACCCACAAGATGGATTAATTCTCTGACAGTCAAACAAAAACTTTCAATATTTTATACCACATAATTAAATGCTGTTTGTTACCTTCAGAGCCAGATGTTGAGACATGTTAATTAATTGCTTCAAAAAGACAGTCAGACATGCTTTAGGGTTGATGTTCAGAATCAGACATTCCTGGGATCAGATTTAGGATTGTAGGTTGAGAGCTAGATGGACCTTAGATTCCCTCTCTTCTGACCCCTTCATGTGACAAGTGAAGAAATGGAGGCCTGGCTTAGAGAGCTGGACTTGCTGAGGCCCACAGCTAGGAGTGGCCCAGCTGGGCACTTGTCCTCAGACCTCCAGTCCAGCCTGCTTTCTCCCATCCCTCTCTGCTTCTTGAACCCACCGGTTCAGCGTTGCCAATGCTCCCAGAGTAAATCCTACCTGCAGAAATCGGGGGGCACCATGCCATAGACATTTATTCGGTCGCAGAGCTCTAATGCAATTGTCATTGTGAACCAGCCGGTGCTGAGCCAAGTGTTGGAGATCTTCCTGAAAGGAAAACACAATTAAGCTTCCAGGTTGACACACCCTTGCTAAAATATATAGATGAGAGACAATAAAAACTCTGTCATTGGGTTTTCCATCTCTTAACCTGCCACACATTACAACGCAATTCAACAAAAATGCTCAATGCCATAAACATTTATTGGAAATCTAGAGGTCGGAGAGAAACATCGCTATCTCCCCAGAGATCGTTTCAGGAAGCTTCTGTCTGGGATTCAGCGAAGTCACTCTCCAAGCCAGACCTTGTATAACAACCAGTGGACTCAGAGAATGATGGAGCTGAAAACGATCTCAGGACTCACAGTCTGGCCACCTCATTGGACAAGGAAGGAAACCAAGGCCAAGCAATTTAAAAATAATTTTATTAAGGCTTTAAAAAAGGTGCATTTCTTATTAAAAACTAACCAAACAAAAAGAGGTGCTCTGGAGCAGTAGGCCTCAAGTAAGGAAGACCTGAGTTCAAATCCAATCCTAGACAATTCCTAGCTGGGTGACCCTGGGAAAGTCATTGAACCTAACTCAGCCTCAGTTTCTTCATCTGTAAAATAAGAATAATAATAGCACTGATCTCTCAGGGTTATTGTGAGGATCAAATGAGTTAATATTTGCAAAGCTCTTTGTAAACCTTAAGGTTCTATATAGATGCTGTTTACTAACTACTATGATGATGACTGCTCCCCCTACTCCCAGCACTACTACTAGTACTACTCCCCTACCCCTCAACAGTACATATATTGGGGAGTCACTAAGATGACATTTGGATCCCAGGGTTAGTGCTGAAAGGGACCTTAGAAGTCATAGTTCAGTTTTGTCATTTTGCAAGTGGGAAACTGAATCAGAGAGGGGAAGTGACTTGTCTGAGGTCACATGAGTAGTGACTAGTAGAGATTTAATGTGAACCCAAGTTTCTGCATGCATGTCATATCCCCTGGAGAATGTCATCCCATGAGGGTAAGAGTTATTTCATTTTGGGCTTTGCCTCCCTAGCACCTAGGACAGCGCCTGGCACAGAGTGGGTACCTAGTAAGTGCTTTTTTGAATTGAGTTGATCTGAATCAGTTCAGGGATTCTTGATCTCGCACTTAGGTTGGTCACCTCTAAGAGCTGATACAAAGTCTTTAGGAATTGTTGAGGTCCAAAAGATCATTGTTCACAGCCCAGTGTCTGACAAGAAAGCTTTTAAAACTTAGCTAGGCTAGTTTGAGTGACATACAGAAACCACACCGGCCATTAATCAATTCAATTCAATTCAACTAAACAAACACTGATTAATTGCTTTTTGCTCTCAGCCCTGCAGTCATCCCAGCTTGGAAAGAGGACCTATCATCCTCTGGCATGGCCTGTGAGTACACAGGTCATCTCCAGTCCCCAGCAATCAGAGCTTTCATGGAGGTCAGTGGGGTGGTGGATTCTGATTATTCAAAAACTCTCTACTAGCCGTGTCATTTGAACCACTTGAACCATTCTGTTCCAAGAGGACATGAAGAGATGTAGACTTCGAAGCTATGTGAATGAGTTAGTTCAGTGCAGTGGAAAGAACACTCACTCAAGGGTCAAAGGACTCACCTCTGACACTCCCTGCCTGGGTGTGTGACTTTGGGAAAAAGCCCCTCGTCCCCCTCTTTTTCTTCTCTCGCAAATGAGGGAGTCAGGATGGTTGGCCTCTGAGACGCCTTTCAGCTTGAGATCGGTGGACTAGTGAAGAGTCTTAGACTTGTTCCGTTCGGTCCGAAAGTACTGAACAAGGAGCAATGGGGAATTGGCAGAGGCACGCTGAGGCTCCCAAATGAGAGCTGTCCTAGTGCACCTCCCCAAGCTGCCTGGGGAGGGGGCAGACTTTCCCATTGGTGGGCTCTAACTGGAGGCTGGACGATGACTTCCTGAGAACATTGTAGTTGTGTGCTATTTTGGGAATGGCCTGGGTGGGTGGCCACCAAAGCCTTTTCTAACTCGGAAGTTCTGGGATGTACACAAGTAAGCAGGACTCTTCATGGATGTGAGTATACTATGGTGAAATCTTACCTCAAATGAGATGAACCAACCAATCTGTCCTTGTGACCCATTTCTCTATTGCCCTTCCCATTTTGATGAGACCTATCCTTCCTCACTGGGATGGGGAGCAGACACAGTGGTAAGAGAGCCTCTGCCCTGTCAGTGCACTTGAGAGTATTTATTCTACTTGCCCTGAATAATTCAGGGCCCAACTCTGTTCTTCTTGAAAAGACCAGAAATTACATCACTGTTCTCAGTTCTCCAGGCTCCTTGATCCCATCTGAGGATGAGCCCAGGGAGGCCACACCTGGAAGAAGAATCTGAGGGTAAATGAATGCTCCTGCCGGCCTCCCCCAGCATACAGCTGGGCTGGGGTTCATTTCCATTCCTTGGTGGAGCCCTCTTTCACTTTCTTTTCATTTTGCTGTGGTTGTGGTATGCCTCATTAGCCAGTTTCAAGCACCTTATCCCCAAGGTCAGACTGCCTGACTTTGCCCAATCACAATGTCATATGTGAGATGAGTAAAGGCTTCACAGGGCAGGTTTTTTTTTTTTAACTTCAAGCATCACAGGACCCCTCCCTGGTAGACTACAATCCCTGATCTTCTTTTTAAGGGACCTCATATTATTTTCATTTCACAGAGAGTGGAATAGGCAGGGGTGGAAGGTGGGGAAGGGCAGAGAAGGGTGTGATATAAAGAGAAATCTTCTGTTTTGCCCCAAACCTCAGCTAGGTCAGGGGACCAGTGGACCCCTCAATTGGGGTCCTCTGATATCCAATTCTAAAATTATCTGATCTGAACAAGTGCTCCATTCCCCAAAGCTTGGGAAAGCAGATGCGTCCACTGAAAGTGCCCTTGTGCTCTTAACTTGGCAGCTGGGCATACAGAGTCTGAAGGGACGCCATCGATTCTGCCATTTCCTCCATCACCCTCAGTTGGAATGCAGAAGCTGATTGCTCCCATAGGCAGCATAACCCAAGTCTCAGAGCTGCATTTGGAGTCATTAGAAGGATGATCATGACATCAGGCAACAAATCATTCAGCAGTAACTGATCTAGGGCCAGTACCATGTGCCTGGCACTGTGGTAGGTGAGATTTACACACCATTAATAGGAACCTCTTTTCCCTCCAGCCATGGCCACCTCATACAGTTTTGGAGCCAGACAGAAGTGTGATGGTAAATATTTAACAACCAGCTCTGTGCCTCTCCCCACCCCCAAAGTGTGCCTGACACTTCCTCCGCACTCTCTCCATCACCATCGAGCCCTGATTTGTAGCTTTGTAGATTTCCAAGGTGTAAACACGCACACAGAAAATGTAACAATCCGCTTGGCTAGGGAGGACTGGAGTACACCCCAGCAGCCAAAGGATGTGGATTCAGGTCCCAGCTCAGGCCACTCTGGGCAATCCCTCAGTGAGGGCCTAGATGGTCTCTGTGGTTGTCTCTGATCCTTCTATGGGCCCTTTCTGGAGGAATGGGGGGATGGGAGGTCATAGAGCACAGATCTAGAATTGCAAAGGACCTTAGACATAATCTAGTCCCTAGGTTCATAGTTGTAGTTCTGAAAGGAGTTCAGAGGTCATCTCTTCTCGGCCCTTCGTTCTGCAGACAAGAGCAGAGAGGGGCGGAGGAATTTGTCCAAAGCCACGTAGGGGGGCCAGCTCCTGAGGTGGCATTTGAAATGAGGTCCCCTGACGCCAGAGTCAGGTCTCTTTTCCCGCTGTTAATGTTAGGGTTAGAAGGTAAGAAGTGGGACAGGTTATTGGGAAGGGGCTGTGAGAGGAAGAACCTAGGAGCCTTCCTAGAGGGGAGGGTGATCCAGCGTGGCTCTGCCGGCTCAGCTGCGTGGACAGGGCCGGAGAGTGATTCTGGCCCGTGATGCTGAAAAGACGGGGCAGCTGTGGCGCTAACAGGAGAATGCACGCTCGTTTGCGTGCCTCGAGAAATGGGTTTGGGAAGCGTGGAGTGACTGGGGCCTTTCGGAACCCGCCCGTCTTGGCTCCTGGCCTCCCTTTCCAGGGGCTGCCCTAATCCAAGGGAAAGAAGGGAGTTTGAGGCTCGAAGTTTCCCAGGCACAAATGGAAAGAACTCCAGCCGGGAGACAAAGGAAACAAGCGAGCTGCCCTCAAAAGGCGACCTTCTCGAGGCTCCAACTGTTCCATATTCTTTCAGGCTAAAACACCATAGAAACTCCGGCACAAAAGCCACGGCTTTCTTAGAAGGTTGGAACCCTTTCCCAAGAAAGGAATGTCTCCTGTTGTTTTACACTTAATCATCTGTAATGAAAAAATATGAAGAGCTGTCATGTGCTTCTTAGGGGAAATTATCAAATATTCTTTTTTATGATGAAGTAACACAGAGAGCTGATAATTCTATCGTGTGCAGTAAATTACAGTGGAAGGGCTTTCTGCTCTGCCAGAATCTCATTTACAATCTCCACAGCAATGCTCTTCCCGCAGTTATTTCATTTGTGCTCCCTTTGTCTAATTACTATACTATTGGTTCTCAATCGTATTGTCCTAATGTCCCCTCATTCAATTATAAAGTTATTTTCAAGTACCGTTACTTTCTAATATCAGAGAATACTGGGGTGCAGTCACTGTCCCTTGGAGTGTTTCTTCACCTCAGAGAATTTGGGTGTATTTACTCCTCTCATTTAAGGTGATGAGAAACTTCTCTAAATCACGATCCAGCCGACTACACTTTCCTTTCTTGTCTAAGCTACCAGTCTCAAGTGCATTCCCCTTCTCACGACATCTCTGAGATTCACTTCCTTCCACTTTTATGTGTTGTAAGTGTTGTTGCTCTTTTTGCATTCAATAAACAATCCATAAAATTCAGGAAGGAAATTTTTGATAGATGTCACAACCTTCCCTACTGAAAACTTTCTAAGACTGAGCAGGAGAAATCCCCTGGAAGGGATAGGGAAGAGGGGGAGCAGTCCTCTGGTCCTGTCAGCTAAGAGAGGTTTCCTAGAGGGATTTTCAGTG